GGTACAGAGTGCTCTGCAGAGACCACAAATCCCCTCACTGTTACTGAGTTAATTGCTGACTGTTAACTATCCTGCACCCACCTAAGTAAAAGACGTGTGTGTCTATCATTTTACTTCCGATCCAATCCCAGAGGTTTCCCTGCTTTGCTTTCTCCCACCTCCCCGATCTATCAACAATGGATTTCATGTAACCCACTTGCCTCTCCTTTTTTTAAAAAAAAATATCTATTGGTTTCAGAGAGGAAGGGAGAGGGAAGGAGAGATAGAAACATCAATGATGGGAGAGTCGTCATTGATCGGCTGCCTCCTGCACGCCCCTGACTGGGGATCAAACCCACAAACTGGGCATGTGCCCTGACTGAGAATCAAACCACAATTTCCTGGATTCTAGATCTATGCTCAACCGCTGAGCCACACCCAGCTGGGCACATCTCCTCTTTTGATTGTAATGTATAAAATAAAGTGCAAAACTTCCATTCCCTGGAGTATTATCTCAGTCAGTTGAGGTTCTGGCTTCCTGGGAATTGTTGACAGTTTGGCTCAAATAAATGCATAAAAATTCTTTACAGGTTTGAGTGACTTCTTACATTAACAGTGACCTGACCCCCAATGTAAACAAGGGTTTTAGTTTCTGGTAAGCTGTCACTGCCCAGGCTGAAACCCAGCACAGCTCAGGCACTATTGCAGAGGACTCTCTCTCAATATTAGGCTGTATGCATGACCTTTAGACCTACAAATGTATATGCTTAAGACAAATATGAATTATTTTATAATGCAAAATGTAAAAACATTGTGACCCAGCCAGGCTTGGCTCAGCGGTTGAGCGTTGGCCTAGGATCCAGGAGATTGCGCTTTGATTCTCAGTTAGGGCACATGCCCAGGCTGCAGGCTCGATCCCTGGTCTGGAGCGTGCAGGAGGCAGCTGATCAATGACTCTCTCTCATCATTGATGTTTCTCTCTCTCTCCCTCTCCCTTCCCCTCTCTGAAATCAATAAAGATATATTTAAAAAAATAAAAATAAAAACAAAAACATTGTGAACACTACACTAATTTGTGAGGACTTCTGAAGCTACAAACTGCTGCATAAAGATGTAGTAGTCTTTATGTTTAGATAACTGACTGCTGGCAGCTTTTAAGCCTCACCTCTCCCTCTTCCTTTGACTACTCATCTGGGCAAGCTGATAAGAAAGCCTGGCTGTTCCCTCCAAGTTCCTGCCTGCAAGTGGGAACCCTCATCCTGGCCTCACAATCAAAACCAGCCTGTTTTCTGTGCTCTCTCAATCCATTTTCAGAGGCCTGTCCTGCTGCCTCCAGATAAACCTCCTTATGTTAATAGGAAATCTCAAACACTCTTGGGTGTGTGTGTGTGTGTGTGTGTGTGTGTGTGTGTGTGTGTGGTGTCACAAGCCCACATCAGAACCACATCTTGGGTGGGGGTCTACCCTGTTTCTGCAGAATGATCGCAATAGAAAAGAAGCAACAAAAGGGACTGTCCTCACTACTAGGCACATGAAGGAAGAATGTGACAACTCGTTCATTTGTCTTTCCTCTTCCCTAAGCAGCACGTTGGCTGCCCAAGTCCTAGAAGCAGTATGTTTCTGACATGTTTCCTACAGTAAGTATGTTTCCCACACCAGTTTATAAGTTAAACAACCACAAACGTTCCTGGCATCTGGAGCAGTGACTTTTTTTTTTTTAAGATATCTTTATTGATTTCAGAGAGAGGACAGGAGAGGGAGAGCGAGATAGAAACATCAATGATGAGAGAGTTATTGATCAAGCCCGCAACTGGGCATGCGCCCTGACCGGGAATGGAACCCCCCTCGCCTGGATCCCAGGTGGCCGCTAAGCGCTGAGCCACGCCCCGCCGGGCCTTCTTTTAAGACACAGCTGTGCCAGCGCCAGGCACTGGGGGCAGGGGCGCAGTGAGCGCGGCGGGGCTCTCTGCGGGAGGCGCCGTCGGGGACCGCAGCTCCCGGAGGGGTCTCCAGCCTGCCTTCAGCACTCTCCAGGGGAGCCCGTGACACTGAGGTTCCCTGCCAGTCTGCCCAGAGCTGCACAACCGCAACGCTCACGCCCGAAGCCCAAAGTCTGCCTTCAGCGAGCATCCCGAGCGAGCCAGGGAAAGGAACCGAAGAAGGCGGGGCCTAAGCGCGTGCACG